GGCGTCGGCAGCAGCAGCAGCAACAACTCCTAAGTGCAGCTGTGGCAGCTCTGGTTGTCACTGCCAAACGGAGGTAGAGGAGGGGGGGGTGTGGAGTTAAAAAAAAAAATCCGGCATGTTTCAGCGTTTGTTACACGTCTCGATGTATCTCCGTCGCGCTCTATGTTCGGCATGACAGCCTTGTTATTTTGTCTCATTAGGGCCTCCTTAGTTTGCCTCTCCGTGGCAAACCTCGAGCAGAGGGGACGTCGGGCCACGGAGCGCAGGGCTATTTCTTTCTCACATTTAAAAACCTTCCTCCGCCAGCCTCGGCCCCCCCCACCTCTCCCCCCATCCCCCCGGCACCCCCCAGCACCCCCAGCTCGAAAGCGGCAGCGAGAACCGCCCGGCTCCGAGGGCCAAATTGACGTTAAATTGTCAGGATGGGCAAACAAGCGGCCGCACGTTCCCCGCTGTCCGACCAATTCAAAAAGCACCTCGGCCCCTGCCCAACAACACAATCAGACCACGAGCCGCATCTGTCACACGCCGCTTGCTCCGCTCGCTTTATTTACCGAGTGAACATCCTCCACGCCGATAAAAAGGAAGAGAAGTATTTTAGCGTTGGCGGAGGCGGCCCGGAAGGCAAGTGGGCTGGCTAAGCTCAATCGGAATACCTCAAATAATTTGTGGTGAAAATTAACCCCATCACGCGGTACCGTTATAGCGGACCTGTAACGTGATAGCGGAAGGGTAACGTGATAACAGACTGGTAACGTGATAGCGATCTTTCTTGGACTCGATGTGAAGAGTGGCTCTAAAGCGGCAACTCAAGAGAATGAAGTGATTCTATTAAAAGCATAAGAAAATATATATTACAAATAGGATATTTGGAATGTTAGAAAATCAATAATGGGATTCATAAAACAATAGCAGCTGCTGTTATAACCATCATGTTCACAATCACAGAGTTTTAAATCACAGTGGTATACAGTTGGGTCGTGGGCGAATGTGCACATTCAATAAAATCACGGGGAATTAATCCGTAATGTAACTGTATTTTTAAAATAGGCGACTCTCCAGATAACAGGTCCTTCTTGTGGCACGGAGGATTTGTCAAAGGCTTTCTCTTTTGGCGTTAATGACGAATCTGTTGAGTGTATGTCATTTAGTGATTGTGGACCACTGCCAGTGCAGCAGCATCAGCTTCGTCACAAAAACATCCAACACAAGTACGACGAGAATTGTCATTGCGCGGCAGCCGACTCAAGCACAGCGGCGTTTCCTCATCGTGCGGGCGGACCTCAGCAGTTTAAACACCTCCCAATGAACGGCGAGCCCCCCAACTGCTAAGAATTCTGCTGCGAACCAAAAAAAAAATCCGGCATGAGCAAAGGCGTCGGAAATTCCTGCACGGATGTGTAAATGAGCTACATGGAACGCCGACTACCGATGTGTGTGTGTGCGCGTGCCGCTTCCGAGCATCGATGGGGCATCGTAGTGCTACGAGGCGGCCCCGCTGTGTGAATGCACGGAGAAGGAGACCGTGGCTCGGACATCGTCTCCGGGTGTGAAGTCAGTCAGGGCGTGCTGAACGCTACTGGTTGTTGTAGCTGGACGAGGAGTAGGAGGAGGCCGTCACATGGCTCTGTGGCTATGTGTGGGGGGGGGCTGACGTCCACTCACGGAACATAGACATAGATGTGTAATTAAATGTGTAATTATTTAATTATTTGTCTTGTGTATTTGGTGCTCTGTGTAAAAATTCACGTGTGAAAGCCTTCGCTAAATAAAGAATAATCTCCCAGTGTTTTTTCACACGTATTTTTACTCATTTTTATTTAAACACAAGCGGCCACTAATTGGGTGTAACATTCTACACCAGGGGTGAAGAAAACATTTCTATTCTCCACCCACCGCTACAATACTTTGTTCTGCCAGTGATCCTAAAAACTCTATTAGTGGCACACATTTACAAATGCCACAGTTTAAACAGGGGATGTTTTTTTATACCTTCTAGTGAAGGAAATAGGGTAATAAAATAATAATAAATATTGTAAGGCTTTCATTAAGAAGAAAAAACGCGGCATTGAAGGTGAAATTTACATTTTTCATCGAGGAATCTAATTTAGCTAAAGTTAAATTCACAATAAATGTTTCGTAACGTCTTAGCTTTGTATAAAGCTGCTTAAGCGCAGTGACTCCGCGGAGCTGTGCGAACCGAGTTGGCAGCTCACGTTTATTTGGCGAGCGCCGATATCTGAACTTGGCTGGGCAATTTGAGAGTTAAGGCACAAAAAAAAAAATCACAGCACTTGGGCACAACATCTTAACGGTCAATTTATGGAACGTTAGCAATTTCATTCAAAAATGGACCGCGGCTGTTAACGGGTTCTCCTCTCTCCCTCTCTGGAATTTTATGGCATCTTAGCACGCTCAACTGGAAATCAGAGGGCCTAACTACGCGCCACCGCGTAAAGCAGTTTACGGACGTAAAACTAACGGCGTGTGCGGCGCGCTTTGCCGTGCGGTTGTTTGCGGACTCCCGCGGGGAGCGTCCTGGTAGGACCCGGACACCGCTGGCGCGACCGTGCCACTTGCCAAGCTCCCCCGCGGCCAGCCATCCTCCGTCACGTCCGTCGCAAGCCCAACCCCAATCAGCCGTCACGAAAGAAAATCTGCAGCTCTAAATATTCAGTGATCCCTTGCCAAACGCGAGTGTTAGGTTCCTGAACACTGCCGCGGTTGGAACTTCAGACCTCGTGGTGAAAACAGGGTTAGGAGGGACCGAGATCACGAGCAAACCTACGTCTTGCGGGAGTCCGCGAGAGATCATGGCGGACGCCACGCGGCAGCGCCAATTTTGATTTCACGACTCGTGCATGACAAAAACGAGATGCTCGCGACTGATGAACAGAAGTCAATCCGCGTATACTCGAATGTGGAGGTTGGTAGATTCGTGGTTAGCAAGGGATTATTGTACTCGCTCCCGCCAATGCTGGCGCAAGGCCCTCCCCCATCAGGGACAGGATCTAGAGAGCCTTTGAAGCTCTTGCCACTCTTCCGGACTGGCGATACATCTTAGAGAGTGTGTGAGCACCTCACACTTTACCCCACCGCACGCAACCTGCCGCGCTGCTGGGTGGATAGAGACCGAGTGGGGGGAGGGGGAAATTTAAGGAACCTACCCGCCCCCCCCCCCATTGTTTTTACTCAAGCGACGCACGGGACAGAATATGAACCGGCGACCTCTCTGATTGCAAAGTCGAGCGAGCGCGCCGCTAACCGACGCACCGCCGCAGCCTCCCCGAAGCGTTCACGGCGGCCACGCAAACGCAGCAGCAGCAGCCTGCAAAGGGCATCTTGACGAATGAATGGGGGCAGGGCATTAGAAATGAGCGCGCGTACCCGGACCGCTTTAAAACATGTATCTTTACAACCAGGTACAAAATATTATTCCTGAACGCCGAGACCGAGATTTATTATCGACCAGGACGTCAGCGTTTTATACTTTGGCCTCCCCTCGATTTCACACCGCGCTTTAAGCACCGAGCACCGCAACTCGGCAGCGCCGCGGCATTTTCAATTCATCGCCGCGAGGACGAGAAAGTGCGGAGCCCTGACTCAACGCCGCCGACCCTTTCGCAAGTAGATGCTAATGTTGCCATAGTTACGAATCTATTTCAAATATGGATGAACGGAGCTTTCTGCCATCACACCGTCATCTCCGTGCCACTCTCACCCCCACCCCCCAACCCCTCCCCCACCCCCCGACACAGATTGTCCCCTGCCCGTCGAGATCCAGCGGTGCGCACCGGCGGTGCAGGGAGCATTAATTCCGCGACCGTGCACCTCGGGGGGGGGGGGAGGGAACCAAATTTCACAATTTGAGTGTGAATGAATTGTACATCGATTTTAAACTATTTTAATGGATTCCGAGCTATTACGGCCAATTGCAATTGATTGCACCGGAGCCTCTCTTTGGGTGCGTGCATTTGCTAAGTGTGATTTGGATGAGGCGCCCCGATCACTCGTATTACCGCATTTGAAAAGGGGAGAGATATTTCGATAAATTGAGATTTTTTCTGTAGGCGAAATTAAAACATTCCGTTTGCGGTCAAGCAGTGGGGGGGGGGGGGGTGGGGGGACGGTGGGGGGGGGGGGTGTGGTTTTTCTTTTTTATTTCTGGCCACGCGCGAGAGAGCTTGGTGATTTTTCAGTGTTAAGCCTGCTCCCCGGCAATTGGGTGTTAAAGGAAGGGCCCTCGCACACAGATCAATTAACGCACACCTGACCGTTCAATAAGACGCAAAAGGGCAAAGCGTTCACCTCGAGATGAATCAACTCCCACTGTGAGAGCACGGACACTAGGATGCACTATTTAGTTTCCCAAACGTTTGATGAAAAAGCGACAATGCGACGCGGTTAATTTCGTTAATTACTTTAATTGCCATTCCGCGCACCAATCGGAAAAACGGAACGTTCCGTGGAGCATTTTACGGTCCAGTAGATTTTTTTTTTTCGTAAAGTCGTGCGGAATTTAAACGTGTTATTTTACGACGGCCCTGTTGTCAGTCTCAACGCCGGATGAAAGATTTCCTCTTGCGTCGTTTGACCATACTTCACCACCCAGGGTTCAGCGCGGGACGGCCAAGCGAGGATGGCCCAACACCGGCGTGAGATACGGCACCGGCCGCCGACGCTAGCCGTGGCCACGAGTCGAACGAGGTCGCTCAGTTCATCACGCAGAATGCACCAACCAATGAAACCTAACCCTCCGGGCACATGTTATTTGGAAAACTTAAAAAAAACACGAACACATTCTGTCTGTATCCGAGTATGACATTCCTTAGTTCTGGCCACAAATACCTGACCTTTTCGTCCACGCTCGAAATAAAAAAAAATAAAGAAGAAAAAAACCCGACCCCCAAATGCAAGAAAGGAGCGAGCAGGAACGGGAACAAAGGCATCCATCACGGTGCGCAAAACAAGACGGTGTGTGGCGCGGCGCGATCCATCACCTCTCACGTTGCCGAGGAGCGCCGGGCAGTTCTCGCCGAGGAATTTCTCCAGGTCATTCCAGGCCCCCTTAATCTCGGCGTAGCAGCCGACGTAGCGGCCCAAGTCACGGAACATCTCGCGGAAGCACTCCCTCCACGACGCCACGCCCGCGGGGAGCCTGCGTCGCCGTCGGATTGCAGGGTGCGGGCGAGAGCACAACACAGCAGGGCAGCGACTGTTAACCTGCTCCCCGTGACGTACATATGCGTACGTCATCGGTTTTGCTCTTGCGGTTGCATTCCGATGGCGTACATGTACGGTAGGTGTGTGACATACGTGTATGTAAGTGTACGTACGTGTACGTCGTCGGAGCAAAACTGCAAGAAAAACTGAAATACAATAACTTTGTGGATACTGAAGCTCCCACAAGGCCATGCGGGAGGGCGTGTGGCACAATTTGGCGCTGGCTATCGTAGAGTGCAGCGGTCTTGTCACGACAGTTCTCTGCGGTGAGAACGTCTTTAAAAAGAACGGCGCTGCTACGTCTCTCTAAATACAATTAACGCCGAACCGCTTGCGTGTTCCGAGAATCAGCGGTGATTGCGGGACACCCACTCCGCAACTTGCAGACGTCTCGGGAGGGGAAAGGGTTAATCCGGTCGGTGCGTTTAAAGTCTTGATTCGTAATTGATTTTTGGTTCTGTGCCACGTTAACGATCTGTAAAATGTTCAGCGGCACGACCCTTCCCGCCGACGCGACACAACCGAACAAACCGAGCTGTGGCCTGGGCAGACGCGCCGATCGGCACAAAAAAAAAACGTGGTTTCATTACGAAAAGTGAGCTGAAACGTTGGCGATTCCATGCAGGCATTTCGCCAGAGGTCAAGGCCGGCATCGGGCGAGGTTCTTGGTATAAGAGCTCCAAATTAAATTGTCTCGACCGAATTTTGTTTCCGATTGCTGAAATCCGGTCGTGAGAATTGTCCTCCGAGTTACCGGCGAGCTGAGATGGTGACAATCGGTGCGTTAAAACGTTCCGTTGAGCGGCTGGTGGGGGGGATAGAAAACCACAAATTTGGCCAGATCGTGACGTCGCCTAATCCAGTAATGTCGTCTCAGGCCACCTGAGCACATTTTAATTCTTCGTGGTCTTAGTCTACTCGTCGGCAACCTGCGGAATTTTAGTCGACTCTTATTCCATTGATTTCATTTAGCGATCAAAATATTGGCAAAAAATTAATCTGCAAAGACTTGTGGTAGATTAGACGACAACAAAATAAACAACAATTATGGGGAGAAGAGGGGGGGGTTAAACAATAATTCTTCATGTATATTTAATTTATAGTCATTTATTATGCATTTAATATGTAAAATCACATTTTATATTACAGAACGAGAAAGTGATCCGAGTCCGATTCCTGGACACCACGGCCAGCATGGTGAGGTATGGATAAAAAAAAAAATACCCCTGCAAAGCCTTCATCCACTGGCTGATTGAGAATGGTTGAGAGGGTGATTTTATGCTAATTTACGATAACTTCATTTGTACAAAATCTATTTCATTTGCCGAAATGATTTGTCCTCCTGCCAAGATCTGTTATCCGGGCGAGCCACCGAGTCTGTAACCGGGAAAAAAGAAAAAAAATTGGCTGTAATTTATTTATATTTTAAACCAGGTGAAGCCCACTGAGCTACGAGCTGTTTTTTTTTCAGAGGCGACCTGGCCACACACGATAGCTCATCGAAGTGGCTGATATCATCGTCACCTGCGGGAATTTATATTAGCGTTCAAAATAATCTAAATACATGCTTACAAACGTGCGAGGGGGGGGGGGTGCGAAACCGGAGGAATCTGGACAAAAAAATTCACGACCACCACGGGGAGAGAGAGAAAGAGAGGGAGGGAGAGAACGCGTCTGCTCCAAATACATGCCAGGCATTGTCAGGGTCCGGGATCGAACCCACGACCTCCTGCGTACCAGGCGCGGGAGAAAAGAGTTGCTTGGATTTTTTTGCTCGCGTATATAAATGAAAAAAATCCGGCGACCATTCGCCCAACTGACCCGGTGTTAAACGCCGATGTTAATCACGTATGAACCTCAGAATTGCGAGCGGGATATTACGAATTATTGCGCAGGACTTGCGCTTTGATGAACATTTTATGAATTAAGCAAAGCAGAGCCCACACAAGGGGTCCCTCGCAAAAAAATATATTATTATTCCAAGCCTCGTTTATAATCGGGAGGGGGAAGATTAAAAAACCCCCACGGAGCCGTGTGAGAATACGAGCAAAGTCTTCGGCTGCCAAGCCGAGTGAGCATCACCGGCTACGGCAAAGTGTCGGCCCCGTGTCACTTGTGAACCGGGCCAAACGCTTATCCTAATGAATAAATAATCGGCCCGTTGCTACCGAGGGAGGGAGATCAGTGCTACACTGTACAGCGTACGTTCACAATCTGCGGGGTGAGAACGCGCACGCGGCCGCGTAAGTAAAAAAAAAAACACACGTACAGCCCCTCGTGCTCAATCCGCAGCTGGATAAGGGCGGCCCCCCCCGCCCCCACGGCGTCGTGCGGGTGGCGGTAAGGTTATTGTGACCATACTTCACCACGCTGGCAAGCGAAGATGGAGAAAGGAAAGTACATTGCAAGTTGCTGCGCTGCCCTCTATCGTTCACGACACCCATCACACCTGGCTTGCGCGCACAGTGGTCGCCCAGAGGAGCGCGACCCAGGCCCAGCCCCTGCTTGGCTTCCAAAGTCGGGATGATAAAAATATGTTCATCTTGTAACGCAATGCCGCGAGGCATTTGCTCGCTCTCGAAGAAAGAACATTACTCGGAGGCGTGCGGGAAAAAAAGCCAATTTCCCACCAAGGTGCATCGCCCAATTTTCATCTGGGAGGATACTGGATCACCCTCAGATAACCCAACCAGATGTAACAGATGGAGTTGACCATTCGTTGTACTTCCATCTCCTGTCGCACCTTGGTATGGCATCTCGTTAATTCCCACGGGGAGTCTGAGTTCTGTGTGCGTGATCCATCAACCCACGCTGCTGCCTCCACAGCGCCGGAGAACAGGCAGCCACGTGCAGCGTAGCCACCACGATCTAGGATCAGGCGCAAACGATGGCCTGGCGACGGCAGTCCGGCAAATGGTTTTGCGAACCCATGTGTGTGTGTGTGGTCATACGAGCATGATGCTTAATATACGTGGGTTCTGGCTGGGAGCTCTGGTTATTTTACAACATGAAAAACACTCCCGAAAAAGGAAATGGTCATATATCCTCACATAGGGTCGATCAAATCCATCTAAACTTCATTTCTTTAACGGCGCCTTTCTTAAACCAAGGCACCCGTACGTAAATTATCATTCTCCAATAAAACCTTTCAAACCATGCAATAATAATGATCAGGTTAATCGAAACAGTAACTTTAGAGACACTGTTCATCGTCGTCTATATGTGTCAGGCTGAACATGGAATGGTTTCAGTAATGTGTCCAATCTTGCCAGATCTGGGAAGCTAAGCAGAGTTGAATCTGGATTTTGCTTAGATGGGGGTGACTCCCATGCCCACCAGGCTGTCACGGGTGACTCGAAGGCTCTTGCTACGTCACGGGCATCTGCAGACAAATCCCTCGATTCTACGCTCCCACGTCCGTGGCTCGTCACTTTGAGTGACCCGCCCCGCGCTGACCAGCGTGGTGAAGTATGGTGAAACAACGGCCAGGACCCACGCAGTGCGGGGGAGGGGCCCACATGCAGCAGTGGATCGGCAAAAGAGGCTCATACTATACATGCTAATGTGCAAATAATTCACGACATGACCGCATGTTTCGAGTTCTGTTAGATAAAACCTGCACAAAAGACTGTAATTTCACATGTGTATGCACAGTGTTCAGGTCTTATTGATTACGTGAAATTGCTGAATAATTGCGAAGCGGTATTGGGTCTTTGTGAACGTGACGATAATAAGTAAACAAACAGACATGAGTTATTATTATTACGACGATAACAATATTTATATAACATTTCCGAATTAAATTCACGCTGCTCTTTCCCCAAACACATTCGCAAAAACACTGGCTTACTAACGCAAAAACACTGGCTTACTCACGGGGAAAAAATTACCGTAAAATACATGGGCCTGCTCCGGCAAATACAGGACGCTGCCTGAAACACGGGCTCAGAATTTTGTTATGAACGCGAGAAGAGTATCGGCGCTTTTGATGCTGCGATGGGAGCACGACGATGCCGAGACGAGGATACGGCACCAGAAAGATTATGAACAAAGAAGTTTTAAAAACCGCGGGATTGCAAGAGAACGACGCTGGATTGAGTGGGACAGAGGAAGGTGGGATGCACTGTGGAACACGCCGTGTTAAAACCCTCCTACTGCCATGCCGCACTCCTTGGGAACAATGGAAGGTAGCTGGGGGACAAGAGGAAAACAAAGACTGACGTGGTGGTGGTGGTGGTGGTGGTGGAGATGATATCAAGCAGTGGGGCCAGCTCAGTGAACGTCGTGTGCAGCGAGGAAGCGCTGGTGCACGTTGACAGTCGACCTTCGAAAAAATCCAGAGTTGACACCGGTGGAGGGAAAATACCATCACAGACTTCCTTCTGTTTCCCCAGCGACACGGCAAGCAGTGCCTGGCCAGGTGGCTCAGCGGCAGAGCGAGAGGTTCGCAATCCGAAGGTCGCGAGTTCAAATCCCGCTTGGGGGTTGCCTATCAGTTGATAATCGAGTACCGCTTTGTGGGAAAGCCAACAGCAGTAGTAATATGGATAGACTCGCCCCTGTCATAGAAATGTGGAATTTCTTCCACTAGCTCTGCAGGGCTGTGAACAAGAGATGAGCACCAGCGCCTCAATGTTCCTTTGAGAAGGCAATCACTTTGCCTTCTCACTGAGCAACTGTTTAAGCAGGCAACCTCTGAACCAGTTTTGACTTTCTGGGTCTCGCCAGCAGTCAGGCCTGTTAAACAATTCCTGCTGGGTTGTCAGGCACCTTCGTCTTAAACCGAAAGATGGCAAAGTGGGGAGACCCACTTCCCGTTTGGATATCGCTTGCCACTGGTGTTAGCCGTGGCCGGGAATCGAACTCGGATCGCCTGGCTCATAGAGCAGTCTGCTTTCGCCACACATTACATTCTATTCTTGCGCACGAAGGTAATACGTTCTGGAGCTAAACGCTAATGTTGAGGTCTGCTGGCCACGACGACAAGAGGGCTTCAGGAGAGAGCTCGGAGAGTCTTGCTGTTGCTCCAATGAAGAAGTGCAGAATGCTCCCGCTTTGTACGTAATCTGTATGTATAAATGTACATATTTATAAAGACTCATGAAGCAGTGTTTTTTTTCTTGACATTGATGATCCAATAACGGTGCACCCTCCCCCATTACAGGTCGCCGGGTGGGTAACTACGCGTTGTTAAAGTAAGAAGAAAAAGAAGTGCTTTTACTACCTTGTTATAAAGTGAGATCTTTCCAGCTCCGATTACGATCAAGGATCATCGTTCACAGAGCGAAGCCCACTGCCCCCCCCCCCCCATACTCCACATCTTAGCGTCTCGGAAAATCTCTACGAAAATCAATGTAATGCAAAGGTTGGGGGAGATCGATAGCAAATTCACTGACTTTAAAAACAAACAGCGCAATGAACTTAACAACGTATGACAAGCTCAAACCCTAACAAACAACCCGGCTGAATAATTAGCATGAGTCTGTGTGGTTGATTTATCTTTAGGGATTTGTTTTCCCTTACATTGCATCAGATTTTTTTTATTTTAATAATTCTGTAATATTGCTTTTGCAAAAACTAAAGGGAGATAAATAAGTCACCCCTGAAACCCATGCAAAGCTCTTGGATTCTTTACAAGCTGGCCCTTTTCCCACAAATACACAGGTTCCCCGTGTAGCCCACACAAGCTACCGAGGCAAGAGCTGTTACGCGATCACCTATGAAGGCGGACACGGCGCCCAAGATGGTTTGGCCAGCACCACTCCCAGGCCGCCTTTGTCCCGCCGAGTGCTACCGTTTACTACACACCGCACCAGGTATTCTTTAAGGCAGAGTCAACCTAGGTGATAATTACATGAACAAAGGAATGGTATCAGAGAATCACCAGCGATGTTAACCGAGGCCGGGAATGGGACTCGGGCTGCCGGGTTTGTAGCGTGGTACGCTAACCGCTGTATACCGCTCGCTACTTTCCCACACGTGTGCACACACACACACAGGGGTTGATTAAAGCAATTATAAAAAAAAAGCACACCGTTTGTGTTAACGCAACCGTGGTTTATCGCTCGGAGAGAGTTGTGGACATTTGCAACGGGCTAATGATTGCACGGTAGTCGATCTCGTCGATTTACGACTCTGATTAACTTTAATGAGCACTAGGGTCTGGCGGTTATTTTAAATCCGAGGCTAAAATCCACCTTCCGTTTTGATGGTGGCAGCAACAACAAAAAACTGAACACAGCTCTGTGGGGCCACTTAATTATAATATCGCCGCCTCTGCCGAATGTGGCATTTATGAAGTTAATTATCACGTTCATTGTGATATCAAGAGAAAAAAAAAAAGATTTGTCCAGGCATCTAATATGTCTTTGTGCACGTATTAAAGCTGTCCTCGGGGCTAAATGCTCCGACTCCTACACAAATGTCACATGCCAAATGTTTTGGTTTTCATTAAACTTGAGAAGGTGGCAGGCTCCTCCTCCTCCTCAATATTATGAAATATTTACACCCCGCACGCGAAGTCACGTAGGTGTGCAGCATGTTAAAATGACAAAGCCTATAATTGCACAGTCAATATTTTCTCGAAATTAATTCGCAGGTAAACTTTGGGTGCGAATGAGGGCTATTTGAATAAAAGACACACTATAAAAAGACCCCGGGTGTATAGGTCTCAAAAGATTGTAGGAGCAAGTCCTGTTAGCGGAGTAGCACCTCTCTCGTGCGCCGGTACAGCGCACGAATGGGTGGCCAACAACACGCCCGGCCGCCTTTGTCTCTCCAGTGTTGATATTTACACACAGCACCAGGAAGTCATTGAAGTGGACCTAGGGGAGGCCCATTCAAAGGTTTGCCACTGTTGTTGGTCGGGAGAGGGAATCTAACTCAGGTAGACATAAGCGTGGTGGGGTTTAATAAACTTGGACTATTGTTTGAACCGCCATGCGTACAGGGTCCTGGGTGCGATCACTCCACAGCAAGCATCGCTTGTTATATTTAACTTGTGGGGGGAAAAAAAAACACTCGCTCGCGAAAAGAGTGCATGTTCAAGCCAAAACCTCTCCGAGCGTGCCGCACACAACAGACTCTCGGCGATACCGACGGGACATGAGCGAGCGGCCGCATGACGGTCGAGGGGGGGGGCGGGTGGGGGCCGGTGGGGGGGGCAGGTGGTGGGGGGGGGGGTAGTGACAGTCGGCGGCTCACCGTCGCACGAGCCAGTAGCGGCGACACTGCGCCTTCCACAGTGCGTCGTGTTCCACCAGTTGCCGCAGCCGCCTGCACACCATGCCGCAGCTGAGACGCACAAATGACACGGCCACGGAGGGGGGGGGGGGGGTTGCGGGGGTTAACGGAGATAACGACGCTAACGTTACAGACAATTAAAGATAATAGCGATGCGCCTGCCCCACCCCCCTTCCCCACATTTTGGGGCGGTGCTCGTTTTGCCAAAGCGTCGGTGCGCTTGGCAGCCCGCTAATTGTCTAACGGTACCGCAGGGGGGGAGTGGAGGGGAGGGATCCGTCGTTGTTCGAGCCAGGATAAGCGGAGGCGGTTGGATGAACGGCTCGCAAACTACCGGCCACGCCACCAAGAAGACAGCCACCCACCCCACCTCCCACCGGCCAGCCGGCAACGGGGTCGTTGATAATTGCCGTAATTTTCACTCGTGGGGCCGAGAGCGGGCGGCGTGGAACGGAGAGGTCGCCCGTAATTCACAACGTGTCACGTGCCGCGTTTATAAAGGGAGATAAAACGGTGACACCGTGACACGCAATTTTGTCATATTTTACGGAGACGACCATCGCATGAAGTGGGATCGATGAGCCGCGAGATTAGTCTTCGTAAGGATGTGACAACTATCGCGATGCACTTTGCTCGTGACTACAATCGGATTTATAAAAAAAAATACAACTCAATTTTAGAAGTTCACTTTTCCAAAATGCAATTAGTGGCACAATTAATGTACAAAAAAATGTAGGAAAAAATATATTAAACAAATTTAATTTTATACACATATAGTCATTGTCTGAGGTTTTTGCTCTCACACACTGCCATTGCTCCCTTCCTTCTGCCAGATATTACTCCATGCAATGAAACACGACGTACAATATAATGGGAATGCTGTGAGATATTAACTAAAATAGAAGATGATACCAAATGGAAATTCATGCAGCGCACCATAAAAGTAAGTTACCTCGCAAAATATTTAAAATGCCAGGTGGTTTTATTATCACCTAAAAAAAACTTCTCAATAAGGCCACGGTTGGAGGCTATTATTCCTGTGTCAGCAATAGTTACAGAAAAAGTTAATTAGTTTTCAATTACAATGTTACAACTTCAACGACCAGGCCTGCATGTACGCGCCTGAACTTTATTTTTAAGTGGGTAGAGAACTCGCAAAGATGAAAGTCTCTTTGAGCACGAGAGATGCAAAGTGGTGCAAGAAGCATACGGTTACCAATATCTCGGTGGGGAAAAAACGAGCGCTAAAATTTCAGATGTAAAAAAATGTCCCCAATTTTGAGTGTTGAGTTTTTTTTATTTGTTAAATTGATGATGGTCCCGTGTAGCCAGCTGCTTGGCTGTTTTACACAGGAGATCTAAAATAGGCGCTAGAAAAAACTAATGATAAAAAGAAACGTAATTTCAGCTTTATATTGCTGCACGAAACTTTCAAACCCTTTTTCTGTTCAATGTTTATATAACTTAAATTCTAATATCGTATGATCAGTGTAAACAAATATCTGCACAAGCCGCCTCGTGCTACAGGGAATGTATTACTGAACATTGATGAATGTTTGTGAAAAATTTATATTTCCAATGCGACGCAGTTCTTTTTTAATGGATTGCTATTCGATTCAGTGCGGTCCTTTAGTTTCTTTAACTTTAGTCATTTTGATCACCGGGGTCACTATTGCAAACGAGACCAATCCTGGATCTCTCGATTTCTCACTTGGTGAAAATAAACTTGACGGGACCAGATACAGATTTGGTACAGGTGAAATGCGTCAATGTAGTCTCCAGGTTATAAGACGCTCCAACAGAGAAAGACGCAATCCCAAAACCTGGGGCGAGTGTCAATCATGTTGGACAGGCCTGGTCGCGCACGCTAATCTTCGGTCCTATGTTGGTAGTGGGAGTGATGTGAATTCCTTGCAATGTTTGAAGCTCAACGGGTGTTGGCGTGTAAAGAATAGCGCACGTGGCAGAGGTAAATTGACGTGCGCTGTTAAATATTCATGTGAACTTATATCGCCCAACACTACACTTTTACTTCCAATCAGCTTTGTTTTGCACATCTCCTTACACTTACCAAAACGAAATTGCTGTTTTTTATCTCAAAAAGTAGTTTAAAATGCATTAGAAATTAAAGGAAAACGTACCATAACGTGTGCCGCATTGCTTTTGATTTATATTTTTAATACAATTTTTTAAATGCGAAAAACACACTGGCAGGCTTATGAATACGTAAACAGAAGGACCATATGCTACACCAACTGGGGCCAGGTCTACGATACCAAAAATAAATCGAGGCCTAGTACAAAGTGCCGCTCATCGCGATGACGCATACATTTTTGTCTGGCAACGTAAAACGTTTCTCTTAAATTAAGCATGCAGAAATTAACAGGTGGCGTGAATGTGCACTTGTTAATTGCAACTTCAAAATAAAGTCGAACGTTTCCTTGCGCCCGTAGATGCAGACAAAACTTATTTGTTTAATGCTAAACAGCTGAGGTGGGAGCATTGGCACTGTGGTTTGCTCGTGCCGATTCTGACACTAACCTTATTATAAACGATGCCTATGCAATCAGCGGCAAGTCTGTATCTGCCGATGAGACACCGTCATTTCGAAACCGGTCCAGATTTTGCTTGTATCTGAACAAACGCTGCTGAAATGTTATACTCCCATGAAGCAAGTACACACGATAGGATGCGTAAGAAATGCTTTTCTTTTTTGTAGTGGAGAGACGGATTTGTGAAGGACACTTGTCTGCCAAATTATTTTATTTATATTCTCCCCAAAACCAATGGTTACATTATGTAACACAATTTTTGTTCCTGGGTAATAAGCGTTTTCGTTATTGCTATATTGCTTATGCCTAAAAAGTATAGAAAATGGCTATTATGCCCCACAAACTTTGCTTTTGTTACCAGGACAGTGATATTTTGCAATGTACCTATTTTCAATGAGAAAAAAAGAGAATCGGTTAATTTTCGTTCACATAAAGTCAGAAAAAAAACAACATATGAATCAAAATAAACAGGTCTTTATGCAAAAGTAATACAAAAATGACTACAAAGGGTTTAGAAGTGAGTCGTTTTTCGAGATTTACGACTATACCGTAAATCACTTTCACGAATCAGCCCCCAAATGTAGTCTCCCATCATGTTCTAGTTATACTATCCTTGGTAGCGGCATTCAAAGTCCAGTATATCCTGGTGGAAGCGCTCGCATTGCTCCTCCGAGTACGCTCCCATGTTATCCTTGAATTTATCAAGATGAGCATCAAGGATATGGACTTTGAGGGACATCCTACAGCCAATTGTGCCGTAGTTCTTCACCAGTCTCAACCAGCTCCACAAAGTTTCGTGATTGCCCAGGAAGCCACGGAACCACTGCGACAAAGCTGTCCCAAGCCGCTTTCTCCTTACTAGTCAGTTTCTTGGGGAATCATTGCACTGCAGGATCTTCTTTATCTGTAGTCCTGACGAACACACCGGCTTTGACCTTTGCCTCTGACAGCTTAGGGAAGAAGCCTTGAACGTACTCGACTCCTTATCTACCGATCTGACAAATTGTTTAATAAGGCCCAATTTGATGTGCAGTGGTGGCATCAGCACCTTCCGGGGGTCCACCAGTGGCTCCCACTTGACGTTGTTCCTCCCCACAGAGAACTCGGTCCGCTGTGGCCAGTCCCTGCCTGTGGTAGTGCGCCTTGGTGTCCTTGCTTTTCCAAGGGCAAAGATAGCAGGGAAACTTGGTAAAACCACCTTGGAGACCCATCAGGAATTCCACCATTTTGAAGTCTCCGATGACCTCCCAGCCGTACTCATCAAACTTCAAGGCATCCAGCAAGGTCTTGATGCTGTTGTAATCCTCTTTGAGGTGCACCGAGTGAGCCAGGGGAAGAGATGGGTACTTGTTACCATTATGGAGCAGCACGGCTTTGAGGCTCCTGGATGAGCTGTCAATGAATAGGCGCCACTCATTCTGGTTACAGGCGATTCCGATTTCCTCGAACAGACTGGTCACATTGTGGCAGAAGCAGAACCCATCTTGACGGGTGAAGAAGCTGCAAAAAGGTTGGTGACACTTTCTCTGATCTGCAACTTGCACACTTTCATCCAACAAGTTCCACTGCTTGAGCCTAGACGTCAAAAGCTCAGCATTGGACTTGGTGAGACCAAGATCGCTAATCGTGTAATTGAGGTACTTTAGTTGGGGTAGTATGGGTTTCTCTCCTCAGCTCCACCTCTGAAATTGTCATCTGGATCTACGACGTCTTCCTCGCCCTCTGACTTGCTGCTTTCTTCTAAAGATGGCTGCACTCTCTGCGGAGGAGTGGGTATGGGGAGCTCATGGCAGTGTGGCACGATGGATGAAGGAAGGTCCGGATATGTGACAGCAGGTGCATTCTTGCCAGTCCGACGTTTGCAAGGGTCCACCATGCAGAAGTAGCAGTTGCTTGAGTGGTCAGTGGGTTGCCGCCAAATTCTTGGGATAGCGAACTTCATGGCTCTATTTTCCCCTCTACACCATCCTAAAAAAATACATTTATTTCACCCATGACTAATGTGTAAGAGATTCTCGCAACATTTTTCATATATATATTTTTTAAATAATATTGAAAATTGTAACAATTTTATAATTAAAAACTTTTACTATTTTCAATAAAAAAAATTAGAATATCAAATTTCGCGCAACAATTGTCCATCTTACCTTCCAGAGTTGTTTTGCATTGCCCGCAGGTGAAATGAGGTGCCCAGGGTTTGTCTTGAACCCCGACAGGCATTCCGAAATGCCTTGTAGGCCTCACACATCTTAGCAGATGCTTCCACAGAGTACTTTTTCACTCTTGTCTTGATGAATTGGCCACAGACATAGAAAAATTCGTCTGCCGGATGCTTTCAGCCTCTTAATGCCATCTCAGAAAAATGCAGATATGTATCCACTTAGGCAGCTGGAACTAAACTGAACTGGTGGGCAGGACACACAGCCAAGAATGTCTGTCCCCCACACGTGACGTTACTCCACGTCGGCCAGCCCCCCTCATCAATAATCATGAAGAGGCGACGTCCTCCACATGGACACCCCCCACCATTAATAATAATTAGCGGCTGACGTCACTCCACATGGGGGGGGCGAGGCGCCTCCTTCCCCCTCCTCAGCGTCAACTTACAACCCTCACTACGCGTCACGTGATCTCCATACCGCTATTGAGACATAGAAGTAAAAAGGACGTCATGATGAACAAGGGATTATAACATTTAAATTAAATAGGTCTGTGTCACCGCGGCATTACAAACTGCACACGAATTGATGCAATTAATATCACGTCGAAGTCTGCTTTTCGCTTGCAAGTTTCAGATTTACCGAAATACACCCGTACTTGGACGGACAAAAGGCTAGTTTGTAAATGTTTAAATCACTATAATCCCTGTTATTGGAAATACAAATGATTGAGGATATTACTTCATGATTGAAGTATTAATTTCAGCAATAACTATTTAGCAAATGGGTCAGCTAATTTCGTTCCAACCATTGGTGCTACTTATTTGACAATTTCGATTTAAAGCTTTCGTGACTGCAGGAATTCATATTCTTGGTTATTTCGGTAAAGTCACGTAGAAGGGAAATAATAAAAATAAAACAATACAATTCTCACGATGATGGTTGCTTGTGTTGCAATCGAAACGTCGTGAGAATTGTATTGTTTTATTTTTATTATTTTCCTTCTAGGTGACTTTACCGAAAGAACCAAGAATATTATTTGACAATGTCCACTTATTATTCCATCTGCCCTGGAAGAGTTTCCCTTTGCCTACTGCGAAGGGCAGAGTTTAACGCACCAAGTCTGACATCTGGACATTGCATCGCTGCATCTGAAACACGGTTAGATTCCTGAGTCATGGAATACATTTTGCCCAAGATAACTTTACAATATTCATGCACGAACATAACAATTCCATGTCTGTGTATATCATGATTGTGTCTTTCTCAATAGATAAAAAAATAATATTTAGGTGCATTGTGTTGCTCTCCATTATCAATATAACAGATGGGTATCATATGCACTCTCAGAGACATACATACATACAAACATGCACACAAAACAAAGATCCCCCGTGTAGCCTTAGCAGACTGTAGGAGCAAGTGCTGTTGGCGAGTACATATAAAGCCCGGCACGGCACACGAGGAGGTGGGTGGCCAGCACCACGCCCGGCCGCCTTTGTCTCCCCAGTGGCGATGTTTACACACCGCACCAGGTACTCATTTGAGGACAGGTTCAGATAATCGTCACCGGTGTTGGCCGTGAGCGGGAATCGAACTTGGGTCGCCGGGTTCGAAGCGCAGCGTTGATCGAACCGTCACTCGCAGACACACGACAACACTTTCAAAATCACTCGCACACAACCCCAACTCGACTCACACGTGAAGTGTCAAAGGCTCGCTGACAAGAGGTAACACTCACACACACACACAGAGCTGATAGTGTGCACAGGTAGGGTGAGTGGGTGCAGTCCCATACACTCGGGGACACTGGTAACCGCTTGCACAGACGGGCACAACAAACTCAAGACACACACAATATGCTCACAAAGACAACCATGCCACAGCATCGCACTCAAGAGACTTTTGGGGCGTCTCGCACCTACGAAGAGGCCGGCACGGTACACGCGGAAGTGGTAGGCAGCACCACACGCGACCGCCTTTGTCTCCCCAAATTGCACACCGCATCAGTTTACTCGTTTCAGGAGACTCGTACGCGGACTCGCTCTTACACAGGCAAAGATCCCCCGTGTAGTCTACACATACTGTTTGGGGCAAGTGCTGTTAGCGACACGCACACTCTCTCGCAGTCATCATCAACCCCACAACAGCGACATTCGCACACACACACCATGGGCCGTGCAGTGTGACACCAACGATGATGGTGCTGTTCATCGGTGACTCTACGATCACTCTCAATGTATGCCGATGACAACATCAACATCGGCCACAACAACAACAACAACGTGAAACGACACCAGCCACGCGAGGCTTGTAAACTACAAGTAGGCAGACCGCAGCAGATCCGTGTAGTCCAGCATCCCGAGCACGAGAAGGAGCGGGTCTCCGGGCATCGCGTCCAGTCGCCTCCACCCCCCTCCATCACCTCCATCGCCTGCTTCTCCACCCCCTTCATCACAAACATCACCATCATCACCACCACCTCCTGCGGCTATAACATCCTGGGAAGCCATGCTGCCCGGCCGCACGCACTGCGCATGCGCCAACCGAGCCACCCTCTCCCACCAATGGGCGAACGAGACGCGATCCCATTGGTCGTGGCTGAAATCACGAGAAAGTTGCAGCCAATCGCCGTGCACCCTCTCCCCCCCCCCCCGTGATGCAGGGCGGGGTATTATGCTTATGTGGATTAGGGAATGCAAAGGCTATCTTAAGCCAGGCTTATCAAGTGTACCGAATATAAATATGGGTATTTAACAGTTACCGATGTGAACTAGGAAATATAAATGGAACTTTAAATATGCCTATGTGAACTTTTAAATGTAAAAAGGGTGTGTATGTATACCCCCTTGTGAATTTTAACATATAAATGCATCACGTAAAGTCATGTAGGTATAATTTATTTTATTTTATACCTACGTGACTTTACCGAAAGAACCAAAGAGTATGGTTTTCATTTTCGGTTTCATTTATTAGGTATAGCTCTGTGAGCAATTCGGCTCTTGAATGGGGTGCAACCGCAACAAACAAAAAAACTAAACATGAACAAGAAAACATCTTAAAGTGAGTATGTGACTATGTGCAAACAGCAAATCCAGGAAAAAACAGCTAAACATATTCTAGAAAAAGCACCGTACACCAACGTTGTGTACAAAAATCCCAGTGGGATGCAAGTCAAACAACAACAACCACAAGACAACTTAGATTAAGGCCATCAGTCTAACTCCGTACTACAACAAACAAACATGGCCAAACCAAAAAACTTTTCGAAATCACCAAAATAAAACCATAAAAGCAATGTAACAGTGATCATAGGATCAGTGACCGAAATTTCACAATAAAATGGATTCCTGCAGTCACGAAAGCTTCAAATCAAGATTGCATCATGCACTTTTAACATTCCATATGCACTGGACAATGTAAATGTGGGTTTGAAAACACATCCATCCCATGTTACACTAAACATGTGATTTGATGATGCTGCTGCTGCAGTGGCAATAGCTCACTGGCACAATATGTTTTAGATTTAATATTAATTTCTTAAGAACTGCTGTTTGTCTTGAGTTTGTTGTTCTTACCCCGCTCCTCCGATCAGCATGGTTGGTTAGGTACGGTGCGAAAGAAGTTCAACATACATTAACAAAAACACCCAGTATTCGTCAATAAAACTACCTCTTTGGCCTCTCTGTGTGCTGTGAAGAAGGTCCGTTGCCCGAAACGCTGCCTATCATAAGATATGTGAAGTGCTCGTGTCGTTGTACCAAGAACAAAAAACTACTTATATTGGTCTAAATCATTCTCTGTTAATACCCCAAACTTCTGGAATTGTATCTCTTCAAGTAGACTATTAGAGAGACCATAGACTCACATGTATACACGTTAATACAAGTCAGGTAGAAATTCGTACAATCGTCACCCTACAACTGTTTAATGTTTCTATAACCTAATTTGTAATTGTGTTATGATCAGTCGAAACATAATCTCACCTAGCCGACTTACGCTACGTGGAATGCGTTATTTAACATTTGTTTATGATCGTGCAATATTCTACATTCCTCATGTGACCAGGTTGTTGTTGTTGTTGAGGACTTCTGTTTCCTTCATTGTTGTACTTTATATTGCTCGCTGTAATTTTTGAAGACCAAAGTCTCTCTTGCGAATGAGACTCAAGCTCGTCTATTGTTTTCTCAAAAAGTTAAACAAAATTAACTTCAATTTCGATTTAAAGCTTTCGTGACTGCAGGGATTCATATTCTTGGGTCTTTCGGTAAAGTCACGTAGAAGGGAAATAATAAAAATAATAAAAAATAAAACAATAAAATACTCACGACGTTTCGATTGCAACACAAGCAATCATCATCAGGTGTGAAAACCACAGCAGGATGATTGCTTGTGTTGCAATCGAAACGTCGTGAGAATTTTATTGTTTTATTATTTTATAATTTCCCTTCCACGTGACTTCATCAAAATTAACTTAACTTAATAGAAATTTGCGCACGTGGACTAGGAGTGGAAACGTGTATTTAAATCACTTCATATGGAATCAGAGTTATTGATTTGCTTAAAAGAGCATTTATTACTGCTATTTTTATTTTATCATATAGAGCCCACGAAGTAATTAGCTCTTTTTCAGTAGCGACTTGGCCACAAATAATAGCTTAACAAAGTGGCTTATCAAGTGGAAATTTATAGAAGCCAAATACTGTAAACGCACCTTTCGAAATGTGGAGTGAAAACCCGAAGTACCCAGAGAAAAATCCACATGACCACGGGGAAAACATGAAAACTCCAAATATACAAGTGTCAGGGTCGGGATCGAACCCACGGTCTCCTGTATACCAGGTGAGGAAGTTAACATCTCGCCACCGCGGCGCCCTTTATAGTGGTCATTGTCGCCTGTTTAAAGCCAAGGGCCAGTTGCCGAAATTCCACCTTCATCTATAAGACAACCACCGTTGGCTTGAGGGATGACGGGCTGAGTCAACCCCCAACCAAGATTTGAACTTCTAACCTTCTAATTGCGAGTTACTCGCTGTACCGCTGAGCCACTTGGCAAGATTTGATGTTGGAAAGCTGTAAACGTGCGTTTGTGAACTCCGGCGCTATACTGTGAGCAACAGCAGGGGGCAGTGCGGCAAAATCAATTGTTGTACTGTGCTATGCTCCGACGTCTATGCTCCCAGCTTTCACCGATTCGAACTGCCCAGCGTGATTAAGTATGATCAATCAATGCCCCCCCAATCTGCACGGTGTGAGGAGAGGCCTTCATCCAGCCGTGGATTGACAAAGAGGACAGCGTGTCTCCACTTCCCTGATGAATCCTAATCAGTGTGTGACCCGCTTTAATATAGCTGTATCACGGGTTGTCGTTGTTTTGGTTGTGATTAGCCTTCTTAACGATTCTTGCCTTGCCCTCATCGCAATTAGTAACGTTGCGATTTAACCAATGGACTCATTACATATTTATATCACCAAATGAGAAGCGCCAAAACCTGTCTCTCTCGCACTGGAAAACATGTGTGGAGAAAACCGAATTGGTGAACAACAAGAAATTATTATACAAATTTAAACCCCAGCATAGGAATGTGGAAAATCCACCACTGGCTGGAGAATGGTGAACAGAAGATTGATTAACATCGCTCCACACTCATTGGAGCAAAACTCTATTTTGACTCGTTTGACTTTTATTCAATATATTATTGGCACTGCGCAATCACATGAGGCCGAGGCTACGCCAAGCTAAGTAATAGAACACCCATATGTTTTCTATCATGTTCGAAGAGTTGTGTTCATACGTCTACAGGAGTTGTTGGTTAGGTGGGGTGCTGAATTGGACAGCTCCTCTGCTCGACATCGAGCCGCGTGCAAATTAGCGATCAAAGGCAAAGATTTCCCTTATAGCCTTCACAGACATTTGAGGCATGTGCTGTTAGCGACCACTTATGAAAGCCGGTACGGAACACGAGGGGGTTTTGTGGACAGCCCTAGTCCCGGCAGCCTTTGTCTCCCAAATGCTGAATGTTTACACACCGCACCAGGTACTTGGCCTAGGTATGGGCCTGGGACCGGTTCAGCTTTCACTCATAGAACTCGGGTTGGTAGCACAGTGCGCTAACCACTGTGCCACCCCCCCCCCCCCCTCCATTAAACACACATAAACAGACACTCGCACATATAGATGTCTGGTTTACAAGTCATGTTATTATTCGCATGCATACCCACACCTGCTCACATGATCTATTATAACATTCCACGTGTGCGCAGACATACACACACAGTAGCGCGGTCAATTCGGGCTCAATAATGATAATAACGATAAATTAACCGAAATGCAGCACGGCGCTACAAACAGGGACAGATGTAACTAATATTAATGGCAAACTTTAAAATCGATACACTATTATGAGGGCAGCAATGGAAAATAGATGCTCTGTGTAAAAACACAGTATACTAATGCGTCGATAACATATGGGCTGCTGTATGTGTGCGTGATAAATACATCACCTTCACTTCTCGTATCTGCACATAAAACAAAACTAATAGTTTGAAGAAAATCAGTACGTACATCGGTTGGTTACCCATTCTGCAGCAGCATTAAAACTGGCCGAATCGAGACCGGTTTCGCCTTTACTGTGGCTCATCAGCAGACAGTTGGCTTATCAGATGTTATTGGTAAGTGGCCTCCATATACGCCATGGGTCGTCAGCGCAAAAACAGGAATGTTTCATAATAGTGCCATAGAGGACCATTTTGTGCAATTAATAATTATCCACCATCCGTTCCTGATTTCAATATATATCTTTTAAACATATTTTAGGCTATTGGCCTTCCAAAAATATTCTACGCAACAGAATGCTTTAAAACATCAACATTTTGGATGAGCCACAGAATGGCGGATGGGTTCCGTATTTCTGTCACTCATCAGCAATGTCATGCGTGCTATATAAATATTGATGGTTTATCAGCTGTTATTGATACAATAACTCCCTCGACCATATATGGTCGACTGAATACTGGCTCCGTACAATTTACCAAAGCTTCCTTCACTAATCCATCACTAACCCCGATTTAATCATCTGTCGTGGTTGTTGGCACGAAGAAACTAATTCGCATTACAAAATACATAAACACACAACATCTTTTGGCGTCATCTGGTCCAACCCATGTGAGACTAGGCTCTAAGGAAAGCTGTCTCGGGTGTGGACCAATCAACTTCAAGGACAGTGCATACATTATCAGAGTTATGTCTTTTGTTTGTATTATGACTGCAGGTATTGCGGTCTATGCAAACATGACTCCTTGTAAAAAGGTGTCAGTTTTGTTGCCAAATAGAAGGGTAAAAAACCAATTATCACACAACATCTTGTTTTCATCTTACTCAGTAAATCGCTAAATGCAAGACCCGCTTTTGTCCGTGTGCAACAGCATCATTGCGTGTGTGGTGTGAATCGTGTGTGTGTCGTGTGTGTGTGCTGATATTAATTAGCCGATAACAAGCAATTGGGCTGCAGCCCCAAGTC